AACCCCCCCCCCCCCCCCAATCTCATGAGTCGCTCCAAGGTCTTTCCATACATGAATAACCATACAACTGTATAAGTTTTAGATTTAAAAAAAAAATTTTCAACTAGCCTGCAGGTAATGAGAGTCTCCTGCTTTAAAGTGAACAAACAGACAATTTATTTAGCCATGTTGTCATTCAGAGTTTTTACTTAGTACTTATTGTGATGAGTTGAGTTATTACTGGTTTGCAGTGTGTTTGTTTGCATACAGCGGATGAAAGAGAGAGAGGCAGTTGTGCCCCGGAGTGCTCTCTGTTATTAAGAAATGAAAAATACGACTTAAACAAGATCCAACCTGCCACAAAGCGACTCAAAGATTTATGAGCGCGTCTGCCTGTGAGAAACAAAGTGAGAGGGAGATGGCGGGAGAGTTTTGTTATTGATACTTTGTAATTGAATTGAAAATTCAAAAGTAAAAAAGAAAAACTGTCACTGGGGCGGTACCTTTTCAAAAGGTACAAACATGTACCTTTAAGGTACTATTATGCACTCTCTAGGGGTAAATAATGTACAGTACAAGGGTGTATCTTCTGAAACAGTTCCAGCTTTTGCACCTTTTTTCTGAGAGTGTATTACATAAACACTAAATGAACAACAAGTATCCGTTTTGCATACAGGCACATTCAAACAAATGAAAATAATACTGTCAACACATCAGAAGAGAGGAAGAGTAAACACTACAACAGCTTTTCAATGAGGAAAGAACGGAGGAGAAAAACAGCAGCAATTTGTAAAATACTTGCATTGATTTTAACCATAAACAACATAAAAAGATTAAAGAGTGTCTGAAACAGAGAACGCCACTTATTTTCTTAATTGCTTATTTTTCATTCGTTCTTTTAGATTCCAGCGGGTGCAAAAAGCACCTGCAATGCTGCACAGTCAAAGCTGCCTTCCTTTAAGTTAAGACTTGTTATCTGCTTTCTTTTTCCACTGGCCTGCAGTAGTTTGCATAATTCAGTACTTCTGCCTATAGTAGACTTGATTTTGCACTCTTTGTTTCCATGTTTTTTGCATTAATTCAGAGTCTCTGCCTACGCCCTAGAGTCTTGTGTTAGGTTGTGGGTCAAGGTTCTGTAATGGGCTACAGAATGTTTAACCGGTTGCATTGTGTGGTATTTTATATGAAGATCGCTCTGAGCACTGAAACACATTCCCACTGTCTTCAATCAGATGCAGAAGCTGGTGCATTTGTAGGCTTCTTTGTTTACAAAACTTGAACTTGCAGTGTCATTTTTTCACTTGGGCATTAGGGACTTGCCGGAATAAGAAAGCAGCATGTTCTTTGATATATTGTTGGATTTGTCTGACCGTGCTGTCTGATGTTTCCTGTGCAGGTGTTTGGTGATGACCCCACTCCAAAGGACAGTGCCTGCTTTTTGGATATTTTAAGCGATCCAATCCCTGACAAGCATTATAAGAAGTCGGAGGTACATACACATTCATATATGCATAAATACAGGGCAAAACAAAATCAGGGCTGGGTGAAATTCAGAATTTAAGAGGCTCATTTTCAATTCATGAGTTGAAATGTGAATTGAATTGGCCACACGCCACAGGATGCTAAATTGGGATTTGAATAGAAATGGCAGGAAGAGGAATGTATGGAACTGCAATCTACATAAGAGGAATTTCATTAGTCCAACACAAGTTTCATCAAAACATAAATAAATAATTAATTTTGCCTAATTATGCCTATTTATCTCCCTGTATGTAGACTACATTTTTTTTCTCAGCTCATTAGACTAAACGGAGTGCTGTCACATTAAAACGAACATCAGAACATGTTTTATTTGACATACGGCAGGGGGTTTCAAACTTTTTATACAAAGGACCCCCTAAATATAATGATCCCCCTGAGAGAGACACTTTTCCTAAAATATAAAGCAATTATAAATTTTTATGTATAAAGATCAAATTATACTTTTTGAGAAAAATATTAAAAACATCACATTGTTTTATATAAAATCATTAACTGGCTTTATATTGTCAGTATATTAAAATCAATAGAAAAGTAGTTGTGATTTATCTGATTTAATTAGAAATAAAAGGCAGAATCAAAAATTCAAGTACAAGTTCAAAATCTTTTCACGTTTTGTTTAAAAATCCCTACTACATTTTTTTCAGTCAGTAGCCTAAGTAGCATTTCAAATACTGATTGTTAATATAATTTAATAGCCCATATGTGTGGTATATGATAACATTTCTAACTAATTCATATGAACACTTACAGAAAATATAATTGCTTGTACTTGCTTAAATTTAAATTGTAAATTTGTACCACGTTCATAAATAAAGATTTGAATTGGAGTTGAGTTCGGAATGGTTCACAACTTTGACTCACAAATAAGTGTTCTTTAGGTCTTTGCGGCCTCACAGAGGTGCAAATGTCTTCAGAGCTAGCATTTAAATGACGCAACAGAGACATAAGTACTGTGTGTGCACACAAGCACAGAAGCAAAAACCACAAGACAAGCATTACATAAAAACCACATTCCTCAGTGCACTCTACTTAGAGATACAGTTCATTGGAATCTGCTGCCTTTTCAGTGGACAAATAATACATCAGAGGAAAGCATGTTTCCATGTTACACTCACAGATTCAGTCATGCGCAACCTCAAATCCATTGCTGTCATATGCCGAGTAAGGAACAGGACAAATCCAAAAGGATTACAGTTTTCAATAAGAAAAAAACAGCTGAGATACACTGAAGACAAGCTCAGACATGTTGACAAAAGGCAGTTAAACAAACTATTATATCACTTCTACAGACAAAAGGGACCAAATATAAACTTTTTATGTTCTATAACTGATAATTAATGTAATAAATTAATAAAAACAATCCTGATAATCCACAGTTTAGGCCTAATCATTGTTAATAATGGCTTTCAAATATAAATGTTAGATGGATTTAATTTCCATTTTATCATCAAAAATCAAAAATTTAATGGAGACAAAATGGCATTTATAAAACTAATCAAATTAATAAATAAAATAATTACAAATGTCTATAAATAGGCCTGGTAGTCTTAAGAATTTTTTTATTTTATTAATACATAATTTACATTCAATAAAAATCAAAGCTAAATAGGAAAAATTAGGAACTAGCTAGTTTATGACAGCTATAGTCAGCATTTCAATTTGCATAAATATTGAAAAAAGAATAAGACTATTCACTGGTCATACTTTAAAAGGGTCCAAATAATGTTATTCCTTATGTCACTATTTAAAATAATAATAATAATTTTTGTAACAGGAATCATGCATGCACCAACAGGAGTGCAGCTAAATATTACATTTCTGCTCATTAAAATGAGTTAATTATTCATAACAGCTTGTATGACAATTCACTGAATATCAACTCTACAGATCATGTACTAAAATATTTTAATTGATAAAAACAGACACTCTTTTAAAACAGTGCTGGTACCAAAATTTAATACTAGCTACTTTCCATGCTAGGTTAATTTAGGTTCATGTTAGATAATAGTTAATCAAACCTATAGGTCTCGCAACCAAAAGCATGAGATTTGTGCCTCTAACGCTTTAGAAATAGGACACCACATGATCGACTGTGAAATGTAATGTCACCCCTGCACAGTAATTCATGCACAACATGCAACACACACACTCACACACAAGAGCAAGCAATGATCTGCTCACTCAGCAGGTAATGTGTATCTACTTAAAACAAACAGGATCTGAGCAACTGGGTGTCACAGAAAACAGGCCGGGGACCCCTTGTGGACGGCTGGAGGAACACCACTAAACCTATCATGTGCTCCTACAAAAGAGTCACCTGTAGCTTTGAGGTCTACGGCTTCCAGGGGCGAACAGAGGACTTCATTCACAGGGTACTGACCATAACTTCCCATGCATTGCATCATGTTGTTTAGTCATGTAATCCCATCATGTGTCATATTACGGCATGTTGTGATTCATCATAGAACATTCGTGACATTCTGTTGGTGGGACACAGACAGGCAGTGGCATGGATTGACGAGTGGCATGGTAAATGAGATGTATTGCAATGCTTCATTACCATAATTAACCACATGCTCTGTTAAGTACACACAAGAATCCTGATCCCTCGCTTGGCACTCGATTGCTGTACGTTATCTATCTTAATTCTTTGCAAATACACACTAAATGCATAACAAATATTTGTGCATGCAGGAATGACACTCGAGCAGGTGAGAGAGTATGAGAGAAAACAGCAGGAGGAAACCAACAGCAAACTCAATAGTGACATTACCTGCACAGGTATGCTGAAATTAAAAATTATTTGGAATTTACTTACTTATTTGTGACCCTGGACCACAAAACCAGTCATAAGAGTCAATTTTGTGAAATTTAGATTTTTACATCACTTGAAAGCTGAATAAGCTTTCCATTGATGTATGGTTTGTTAGGATAAGGCAATATTTGGCTGAGATACAACTATTTGAAAATCTGGAACCTGAGGGTGAAACAAAATCAAAATATTGAGAAAATTGCCTTCAAAGTTATCCAAAGCAACGAATATTACTAAACAAAAATTAAGTTTTGATATATTTATGGTAGGAAATTTACAAAATATATTCATGGAACATTATCTTTACTTAATATTCAAATTATTTTTAGCATAATAAAAAAATCGATCATTTTGACCCATACAATGTATTTTTGGCTATTGCTACAAATATACCCGTGCTACTTATGACTGGTTTTGTGCTCGAGTCCAGGGTCACATTTATGATTTAACACCAAATCAGCAGCAATGGCTATATTCATGGAAAATTCAACAGTATTATGGTTATAATGTTTAGAATAATTTAACAATTTTATCTTGAAAACGACCAACATACAAAAATATACATATATAGTTCAATTAACAATAATAACAATAGTAATAATAATAGTTATATAGAATTTTCTATTTAATTTTAAAATTCTAAAATGATTCCAGGAGAATCTTTTTTTAAAAATGTCCAATTTATTTATTTTCTGAATAAAACGTTTAAAAATGGACATTATATTCAAATACGTTTAAAACTCAAGAAATGATTACACACATCACAAATCAGACTCTCTTCCTCTTTTAGTAAATAAGTGCGAGTGAGTCTTGAGTGACCAATTCGATTAAAATTTTAAATCAATATCAAAAATTTGCTTGTTTGAATAGTGACCTAGAGATATAATAAAAAAATTCATATTTTAATTGATTTTCATATTGTTTCCAGATTCACGTTAAGAGTTTAAATAGATTTTAGCTTTCCTATGGCTCAAACAATAGAGCACGGCCCTAGCAACACCAAGGTCATGGGTTCAATTCCCAAGGAAAGCAAACTGATCAAATTTACCCTGAATACATTTGAATACACACTTTAGATAAAAGCCTCTGCCACGTGAATAAATGTTAATGTAATTTTCAATGTGAACATCTCTCAGTATCCACATTGCCCTCTATTGGTGAACGTTTTATACTGCATCACAACTTTTACAGTTTAGTCAGCACTGTGATGCAACTTCATTATTAATATGGAAGTCATCATGATTTATAAAAACACTGTTACAAAATGTTACGCTAAATCAGAAGCACAAAAAATACTTTTCTTTTCTGCTTCACAGACTCTGCTCCAATGCGACCCAGCTTCACTCGCTCCATGTCTGTTACAGATGAATCGTCACTGAAAAAGATGGGTGTAAAGACTGTAGACATTCCAAGCTCTCCGTCCTGCCCTTCCTCCCTCAAAAATCCCGTGAGATTAAACTCTACACCAGAATAACACCACATCGTCCACTGCCAGTACCTAGCCTACTATTAACAAAATTCTGGACTTGGACATTCTCTTCTAACCAAAACTAGAAAGACTTTGTCACATTGTCACTCACTGCTCTCCGTTCCATCTGGACTTGCATGCTTGTGTTCCATGCAGAGGCTGGCATCTGACAAAAACATCTTACTGAAGAATTGTAGATATTATGTAAAAAGACTCTGGCTTCGCATGAAGTGAACCCATAGTGCCTTAATTCATGTTTCTCACAGACCTCACCAAAATGGATTGAACAAATGGTAAATTCCCCTGCTTACAAACATGAAGGGGACCACAGAATGCAGATGAATGAATGAATGAATGAATGAATGAATGAATGAATGAATGAATGAATGAATGAATGAATGAATGAATGAATGAATGAATGAATGAATGAATGAATGAATGAATGAATGAATGAATGAATGAATGAATGAATGAATGAATGAATGAATGAATGAATGAATGAATGAATGAATGAATGAATGAATGATGCATTTATATATCGCTTTATTGTGTATTGCCGTACATCCAAAGCGTTTTACAATCATGTGTGTGTGTGTGTGTGGGGCATCCACCAGATGAAAAGCCTCTATTGACATAATCAGTAGACTGTTTCAGTGAAACCCGATCATATGGATTATGGCAATCATGAGTGACTAGCTGAATTTTCTAGTGGGTTACGGGTTATTGAGGCTAACCTCTGACCCCGTATCAATACATTGACGGAACACAATTGATTGTTTAGTCGTGCACCACATAGCGAGAACATTATCAATAGTACTCTGGGTGATCAGATGAAAAGACTACAATGGATGAAGCATTGTGTGTTATTTGACACCTGTCTTTTTAAGATGCCACTGGTGATAGTGCAGAACCATAAATTCACATCATTGATTAATAAGCCAACGTTGTTATGTCAAGCCGTTCAAACAAACCGAGGAATGTTGAAAGTGCCATTTCTTCACATAAACTTGAGGGATGCATGATACTCTGTTTCTACACTGGTTATCAGCCAATTTTTTCAAGCACTTTTTATTTATCAGTATCAATAGATATTTGATATTAAATACTCATTTGCTCTATTTTTTACATTAAGATCTTTGCCATCATACAAAACACTCACTTTAAAGTTCATCTTTAAAAACACAAATTATTTAATAAGACTGTTAAATATAATTTAATAACTTTAACAATTCTGAAAATGAAAATATTTTTTTCATAATGAACATAATATTGTGGTCCCTAAATTCACTTATCGCATTTATAAATCAATTAGGCTATTTTTAGTTGTTAGTGTCTTATTTTACCTACACGTGTGTGTATACAGAGTAAAAACAATAATATTTGAAATATTAAAATTTTCTATTTTAATATTTTAAAAATGCCATTTATTCCTGTGATGGCAAAGCTGAATTCACAACAGCCATTACTCAGTCTTCAGTGTCAGATGATTCTTCAGAATGTCCTCAACAATCATTTCTTTTTATAGTCTATGTTGAAAACTGCGGTGCCACTAAATTTTTATGGAAACTATGATACATTTTTTTTCAGGATTCTCTGATAAGTTTATTTTTAAAAGTTCAAAAGAACAGTAATTCTTTGAAATGTAATGCATCCTTCCTGAATTATAGTATCAGTTTCTTTCCCAAAAAACATAAAACAAAATAAAACTTACTGACCCCAAACTACACATATATAGACATGTATATATATATATACACATTTTTAATACACTGCATCCCTATAGGTTAAAAGTATACTTACAGCAAGTATACTTGTTAATAACTCACTTCTTGGGGTAAAAGCCCCCAAAAAGCATCAATAAAAAGTGACTTTGTAAACAAAAGTCTGAGCGTAGGCATCTTGTAAGCTTTAAGCGTTCTAGGAACTGCATTTTTTGCTGTCATACTCACCTTTTCTCCTCGCATATAATTGCAAAGATCCTTGCTGCTTCCTCCTGTGGCTATTACTGTATTCATTCATTCCTAGCATTTTATTTCCTTCTTTTTATCTTTCTGACGAAGGGATGTGGAAGGCAAAGATTGAATCCATGTTTCCTGAAGTCTTCTAGTAGCGCTCAAAGGACTCCAGGCTGTTCTGTTACAGCTCTGGCTCTCGCTTTCTTTCAATTTCTCACTATCTTCAGCATCCTCTCTTCCTTTCCCTTGCTGACCCTCCTTCACATCCCAGTTTCTATCTCTCTCAGGAGAACATTTCTGATGTATAAATTTCATTAGAAGAAAGCTAAGGCAGTAGCACTAGTGCAGGCAGTGTAAAAGATCAGCTCTCTCTACCAGAATAGAATAAACAGTAAACCAGAATAGGACCTACACAATAATAATTTGATTTAAACACTAGTAATATTGTGCATGATTTGATTTGTATGGACCTCTTTATTATATTTGTATGGGTTGTGTCGTTTTAAAGCCTAAAAGCCCCCAGTCCTCCTAATCCACTTTCATTACATTGAAAAGAGCAGCTAGGATATTCATCAAGCCTACATTTTTCAAGCCTAAAATATTGTAATACAGCTTTACATTTTGGTTTTCCATACATTAGAATGTGTCCTTATTTTTATTTTTTAAGCAAAAAATTACTATCATATAATGATTTACAGAAGACATCCACTAAAATGCCATTCAGTGAAACAATTTTATTGTGTAACAAGATTCTAAACAAAAATATATTGTCAGGTATATTTAGAACAGAATGACATATTCTATTTAATGATCACCGTGCAGCACAAAAATACTAATTAACTGATATTTTAAATCTTTTTACTATCCTTCAGGTTTTAACCATTGTTCTTGTCAGCAAAGGTTTTGTAGTAAGTGGAAAGGAACGAAGGAAGTGAAAATTATTAAAAATATATTTTTTTTAAATTAGTATGGCCACATATTCTTTTATATATTTGAATAATATAAAACAAATAAATCTGTTATGCTGAATGACGATGGTTTGTTACACTCAATGACGTTTTGCCAAAAAGGGAGAGAATATTGGTGTTGAAATGTTTTTAGTAGTTTTAGTCTATCAATAAATTAGTTTTAATAACATTCCTGAGTAAATGACAGCAGGAGCAGACGTTGAAAAATAAAAAGCACTCTTACGGTATCTTGTTACAATGGACTCTCTTTTCAGAAACAGTGGTAAGCTATTATTCTGACAACTGCAAACCTTTCCCGTCTCCTTTCTAAGAGTGCCGCTGTAGCTACATGGCTTTGCATTTACTTTTAGCCAGTGCATAGAAACTGGCAAAAAGTACAATCACGTCACTGTGATTGTAGGCATCTAAAATAAATCAGTAACACACACACACACACACACATAAACAATGCCTTAAAATATTAATTATACACTCCTCATTTACCAAATTGCTATCTATACAGTGATACTGAATGACAAAACTATCTTAGCATATATTGCAGGCTATCAGCCTATATCAAATACTGCTTGACTAGTAATGTTAATCACAGTTATTCACAACATCTACATATTTTTCAAAATAAACCTAACAATAAGTGTTTTTGGGCATTTCATCAAATGACGTGGTTTTGCAACTTAATTTAAGGGCAATAAATTAACTGCAGCACACCTATGTAAATATGTATGTATATATAACTATGTATATGCACTTTCTATTTATATAAAATAATTTTAGTAAATTTAATTTGATGTAGACACCAAAATGGGACATCTCATCTTCGACCCATCTACACACAGAAAAATAAGGGGCCAGAATTGTACCTTTTGGGGTACAACAGCTTGTCCCTGGAGCAGAACCCTTGAAAGGACATATTTGTACCTTTTTTACCCCTTATAGGTACATATTAGTACCTTAAGGGTACGTATTACTACTCTAAGGTACTAATTTGTAGCTATTAGGGGTAGCCCCAAAAGGTACAATTTTAAACCCCTTTTTTCTGTGTGTACAGCCTATATCTAGCTTCATGAATGTCATTAATATCTGACCACCCATATTATCTGAAAGAGATAAACTGCATTGAGATAAAGAACATTCATCTGCATTGTGTTCCACAACCGTTAAATGTCAACAGACAATGCATATTTAACACATACCTGACTAGTAAAATCGCTTAGTTTCACATAGAAATCACTGTAAACTGCAAACTGGATTTCACAGCAGAACAGATGTGCTGGATTAAAGACAGAAGACTGACCCAAGCCCTGCAAACTAACCCAGATACCAATGCCTTTTTGTCTGTCTCTAATCATTATTATCATAATAAAGTATAGGTGGGTTAAAAAGATCTCAAGGGTAATTTATGAGCAGTAATTATATTGCTGAAGCCACCTCCAGCTGACACATGGGCACACGCACAAGCATCCCCTCATGCAAGCAAATGTAGAGAGTTACGCATGCATGCACATACTCCCCCAAGAGGGTGGGAATGTTTGGGAGGCATTCATTGAAATTCAGGCCCTAAACATAGCAATCAGCACAACCATAAAGGACCCATATTTAATTGGCCCACCCAGCCCATTAATTACATAGCCAGAACTGCACTGCAACACAGCATATGTTCCCTAATAAAGCCCGATGGATCTTAATAGAGATGTATTATTGATTCACAAAGGTGGAATTAAATCTTTTCCATATAAGCAGAGATCCCATGAAGCGCACATTGAAATAACTATATACTCTTACACACACATATTAACATAAGCTTACACACATATACTCTTGTGTAATGTCATGGACACTAATATAGGTATAAAATAGTTAGTATGGTCATTATATGGGCATTATATGGATGCACTCACAAACACAACAGGGCATGACATACAAGGGTCAAAATATGTCATTACATAATGAGACATCACCAACAAGCAGCCAAAAAGCCTCTCCACCCTAAACATGACCGTAATAGTAATGAGATCATATCCAGAAAACCAGGAAATCACCATTTTCATCCTCAACAGCATTTGCCTTTTATTAAAACATAGGCAACTCTGCCTATAACTTCTTTTTCATCTGTATCTCTTCTTTTTCCTCATTCCTTTTCACTCTTTTCATTCATTATCATTTTCCATTTTGTGTATGTATGTACAGGTCCACAATAAAAAGCCAGAAATACAGAAATGTTCTGCATTGTTACAAACAACTAAATAATAAACAGATGATAGGTAGATAAATGATAGAGAGAAGACGAAGTATCTAAGATAGATAGATAGATAAATAGACAGACAGACAGACAGACAGACAGACAGACAGACAGATACTTTATTTTATACCACTGTTACAAATGAGGACGTCGCCAAAAGGAGATGTTGT